CCTTTTCTCTTTTCTCCGTGCTTTTCTTTTTCAGCCTAAAAGGCTGAGTAAAGCAGGTGAATTTTCATTCTAGAAAGCAGAGAAGATAGAATAAGCTCAGCTGCTTTCACCTAGTGCACTTTCCTTTTTCACAGATCTCAAGATTATCCAGAGCTCCAATCCAAGTGGAAAGAGGACAAAACCACTAAATGAAGCAGTGCCTCCACTTTGGCTGTAGGCTGTGTGTAACTGGGCAGGGAGCACCTGCAAGGATAAGGCTGTACAAACTCAGCCTCACGGGATGAAAAACAGCAGGAAAGCAGTTGCTGCTCTGTTCCAGGCTCAGCATCGTGGCACTTCCACCTTTGCCTAATGAGCAAACCATGAAAGTCTGACGGTAAAACTTTTCCTAAACACCAACACTACCAATTCAAAATCAAGCATAATCCCACCCAAAGTTTTCAGGGCTTTGGTTAAAATAGAATCTATGGAAGTTCTAGTGGTTCAGTGGCTGCAGGGAGATGAGCTCTGCCTGTGCCCATGCTGACCTGGTGCTGCAATGAATGTTCCATGATGTGGGACAATAAATAGTATACACGTCCCTCTCCAGAGCCCACCACTTGGCTTAGAGTGCAGAGGATGCTTTTCTATTGCAACTTGCCAGCAGCACACTCTATGTGTGTGTGTGTTTTGTTCTATGTTCCTTGGCCAAGAGACATTTTCCACAGATGGTGCTTGAGCTCAGTCTGCACCTGCACATGTATGTAAATGGGGCCACAATTATCCAGTTTGTTGGAACTGTTCTTTCAGCCTAAGCCCTTTTTTCCTCCCTTCGTATGCTTAGAGCAAAAGAATTTGATCTCTTGCATGCACCAAATTTTTACTGCAATGGATGCACTACAATTACTGTCCTCTCCTATTGTACAAATCAGATTTGTTGTTCATTTATTTCCCCTTTGGCATACAGCCTCTTTGTTGTTGTTTTCTCAGCATTTATCATCATAACCAAAAAGCAAGCTGCAGTATCTGGAAGCTATACCTACGTTATTAAATAACTCTGAGAATACTCATGGGGAGATGGGCTTTTTCTGGCTTGAAAAGTATAGCAGAGTGAAAGGGCTGAATTTCATTTTGCTAAGGTTCTTGCAGGAATACTAGAACAAATGGGCAGCTCTTTCTGTGTAATATAAACATAGATCTAAGTGCTTCCTGGTCCTCTTGGAGAATGAGTGTTTAGAAACATAAGCCTGGGGGTGGCTTCCTGGGTTGTTTCATCCTTGGAGTTGATTTAAATAGGTTGGAGCTTGAGGTGGCCATGGGAGGTGATTGAGTGTCTGTTGACATTTATAAGGATTCAGGATCCTTGTGAATCAGAAACATGATTTGGAGGAGGGTGGAAAAGCTGAGGGCAAAGGTAGAGTTGCAGACTTCTCACATCACAGAATTTTTCCCTGCCAGCTGGCATAACTGCGCCACACAGTGCATATCTCAATGGAAATCCCTCTGCCCGAACTGAATGGATGCAGCAGAGATGCAGCTCAGTGTGGAGCGGGATGGACAGAGGTGTCTGGCTGATGGCAGTTTTGGCAGTTTCACTGCCCAGGCAGTGCTGAGTCTGGTCTGATGCAAACTGGCATGCTTCAGTATGGAGGCTCATATGGCAAACACTGATGCTTGGCATGTATTCTTGAACTGTTTCCCTCTTAACTTGCCATACTTCTGTCTTTGCTATCTGTTTTTAATTCTGTCTCTGGTCCACACACAGTGAGATGTCTGCATTGTATCACAGAGGGACTGAATGATGCCTTGCCCTGAGTATTCAGACACCTCCTGCCATCCCAAGAGTCATGCAGCAGGTCAGCCTGGTGCTGCAGTGTGTAAGGTAAGATATTCTGGTGCTGATTTCCCCACACACAATTTTTAGTAAAATTCTGTAGTGTCTTTAGCCTTACCTAATGTAGAAAGATAAGCTGTCTCTAATCTACTTATTAGAAGATCTACAGCTCTGCAGGTCAATGAAGAGTCAAAAGCATCGTTTAATAGCTGACCTGTGTTGCTGGCCCCTGCCTGTAAGTGGGTTCTTGCAGGGAATCCAAAGCAGCTGCTTGGCAAGGATCGGTGATGTGTCTGTGCAAATCACAGCCTGGGGCCAGAGGCTGATTATTTCTGAGTCGGTGGCATTTTTTCCTTCCAGGAATGTTGTGTTATTGTGTCTGAAATGTTGTCTTTCTCCTATGCAGTGACAGAGGCTGACCTTGCTCCCACTGCTGCTCTGGGTCCTTGCTCACAAGGATGTGGAGGAGAGGGGATACTTCCCCTGGGTTTATTCTTAGTTCAAAATACTACCAGGAAAAAAACCCTGTAAAATCCCCACTGGGGAGGTTTATCCTCAATTACTGCTGTCTCATTTCCCCCCATCAAATTCCTCATGGACTTGTCATCAGCATTCATCTTGCTTGTGCGGTTGGTTCCGCCCTGACCCACACTGTTCCCTAGAGGGGAGGGGCATCCTTGTCTGAGTCAGATGAGCTCTGCTCACACCCTGCATCCTCCATGCTCTGATGTGTGCTTTGCAAGCACCAGCCGTGCTCAGGCTCACTGCAACACACTTGGCTGTATGCTGCACATTCACACTGCAGCACCTAGTTCTTGTTTTAGGCTGGATCGATGGGTTGAGGCCAATTGTAGAGGCTCAACAAGACCAAGTGTCAGGTACCGCACTTTGGTCACAACAACACCATACAGTGCTACAGGCGTGGGGCAGAGTGGCTGGAAAGCTGTGCAGAGGAAAAACTTCTGTGGGTGTTGGCTGATGCTCGGCTGAAGTCAGCAGTGATGAGTCAGCAGTGTGCCCAGATGGCCAAGAAGGCCAATGGCATCCTGACTCTTATCAGAAATAGTGCAACCAGCAGGAACACTGAGACGATGGTCTCTCTGTACTCAGCACTGGTGAGGCTGCACCTTGAGGGCTGTGTTCAGTTTTGGGATTCTCACTACAAGAAAGGCATTGAGTTTGTGGAGCTTCTAGCCCAGGGATCTGCAGGACTCATGTTACAGAGCTTAGGTAATACTCACGAAACATCAGCTTTCTTTGTTGCAGGGCTTGGAAAGAAACAAGAGCACATTTTGGTGCTGGGTGAAAGATGTACAACGTTGTCTTCCTCCCATGACACCATAGGCTGCATTGAGATCATCTGCAAACTGCTTCTGCAAGTACCAACTTCAGAACTGCTTAGGGAAGGTTAGTTGCACAGGGGGACTTGCAAACAGCTGACACTTGTGCTGACAGGAGGGTAAAAAGACAATGAAACGTATCTGACAGGCACACTCTTGCCTTGCACAAGGCTCTGAGAGGAGAGCATTTGTCAGAAAGGATGCAGTGGGTACATGGCTGGCCGTGTTGTGCTGCCTGCAAAAAGGTCTCTGGTGTCTTCAAACGCCACTTACTCTCAAATCATGAAAAATGCTTAGAAGCCAGTGTTGATGCAAACAGAGCTAAAAAAAAAAATATCTGGTAAGGTTCCACAGCTAAGCACTTTGGCACTAATCTTGTGGTTGGACATGTGTGGGCTTGTGTCCTTGCAGAGCCCCTCGGATTACAGAGGAAGCATACACAGGGTTGTAAACCCTGGCTTTGGCTGAGATTTTTCTGGATAGGGTCTTAGTGTGGGGTTTTGAAAGGCAGCTGGATGATTTTAATCCATGTGTCCATTAATTTTCACCAGGAACTATAACGCATAGATGACTTTTGACACTTTTGTCACTTTCTTGTTTACCAAGTATTGGGTGAATGTTTCAAATGTTCAGTTTTTTTCCAGCCATTCTCGCTCTTTCATCCCACTATAATCTACCTTGTTACCAGTCATCGGGGTTCAAATTTTTGTAGAATCATTAAGATTAGAAAAGACCACTAAGATAATCAAGTCTGACCCCAGCCCATCCCCACCATGCTTGCTAACCATCTCTCTCAGTGCCATACCGTCATGTTTCTTGAACACCTCCAGGAACAGTGACTCCACCACTTCCCTGGGCCCAGCTATTTCTGTAAACCCCTTGGCTTCAACTAGCTAGACACCAGCCAGTTATATGAGAAGCTTTGGATGGAAATACTTAGAAATCCATGGGATTTGCATAGGTTCCACTCTACTGCATATGCACCGAATCTTGGTGAATCCAAAATTGAATGAGTCACCCAAAAATAAAAAAATTGCTTAACTGAATCTTGAATTTCGATTAGATCTTTCTAATGGCAAAACAAACATTAAATAATAGCTGATTGGTTAGTTTTAGAGCCTGGGACCTGTGGTGTGTGTGCACTCAAGCTTTTTCTTGGTGGTGATGGCATCTTAGTAAACACAGTTCCTACAAGGTTGGTGACAGTAACCCCAAGTCTTTTCAGTAACAAAAGACAACTGCCTTCTTTGTTAAATACAGTGCTGCTAAAAAATGCCCCAGAAGTTTGTCCTGGTGGAGAGGCTGTTTTTCCTTAAATCAGTGCTCCATGTCAGAGCTGTGCTCTCAACACACGTCTGTTCCTCAAAGGTCCCTTCACTTCCATGCCTTCCAAGGTCAAGCTTCAACGCAAGATTTGAAGATGTTAAATGTCATCAAACAGTGGGGCAGTTTGTTAAGCACTCTCAGAATCTAAGACAATTGTCTTTTTCTGCCCTTGCTGCACAAGCTTAAAAATGTAAAGAAATTCCAGCAACTTGCTAGCAAATTTAGTATTATCTGGCCTGCTCTTCTGATACAGCGACTTCTGCATATATGCCCAGTGTTCCCTGCCTATCACATGGGTTATATTTTCTGTTCTTTGCCATTGCAGCTTTTATTAAGTGTTTCTTGGGCTGAGTCCCGCTGAGTCAATGGAAAAGTACTGCTGCTGCACTGGAAGCAGGAACTGGCTGTTGGGTTCTTTCTAGTCTGAACTTGACACTGGCTATAATTCACGACATATGCAGCAAGATGGGTAATAACAGTCCAGTGACAAGTGTTACCTTTTATTCTGACAAGGTAAATTAGTATATGTGTATGTGTGCCTATCTCCTCTGTGTTCTGTTGTGCTCTGCTTTCAGAGTTCCTTCTTTAGGATTGTAGTGACGCTTTGCACAGAAGATTTGAGAGTTGTAACTTTCAGTAGGAAAAGAAATGCTGAGCTTTGTCAGATGTTTGAACCAGTGTTTGAGGTCAGCCAGATTAGAGGAAAATGCTCGTTGAGAGTTCTGCCCTGTTAATGAATTGTAGCACTTTTGCACTCGTTAGATATCAGCCCAATATAGGCTGGCACTCCTGTGGCTATCTAGGGAGCATATGGCTAATGTGATCCAGCACCACATGACAACCAAGATCAGGACACTGGAACTCTCAGATCACCAGGGCTGAGTTCTCCCTTGCTTTGAAGGCGAGATCACGGGCTGCACGTAGAGATGAGTGAAGATGTTTGCTGCTAATCCTGTTGGCTGGGATGTGTTGGCATCACCCCAGGTGAGAGAGTTTTTGCTTATCTCATACGTGGATGAGGAAAGTAGGCCTAAAAGAAAAAGAAGTTCTGCAGAAAGAAGCCTTCAGAAGTACTAAGTGCTGGGGAAAGTGAATACTTATTTTCAGTTTGGAAAAGGGGATTCTGAGCTGTAGGCTGTGCACAGACATGTGCATCCTGCATCTGGTATACTGCAGAGACTCCATCTACTGAGATTGAACTTTGCAGAACATGAAAACCAGCCAATGCTTCCACTGTATAGCACATACTTAGGAAAATGGCTCTGTTGTACCCGGCTTTACATCTTTAATACAAAAAGACTGCATTGTACTTTCCAGGCACGGCCTGAATGCAAATTCATAAATATGGTTTATATGGCTGCTTTGCTTCCACAAGCTTTTTCTTACAGTCCCTACTTACTAAAATGTTAAGTCCTTCATTGAAATTCCACCTCCAGAAGAACAGCCCTCAATCAGCTGTCCCTGGGAAAACAGAGCAAGCTATGACAGCAGAAGCATTGTGATGAGCTTCCCCTGTGCTCTCTTGGCATTTACTGAAAATTTTCCATTATTTTGGATAAGGGGTCAGTGCTCCTCTGGAATCTCATTTGTGCTTTTGATTCTCTATTATCTATCAAAACATAGCATCATTTAAAACAAGCACCAGAATCAGAAACCAGCCTTTGGATAACTTGGGAAGAGCCTGTTTTAATAATATTTTTTTCAATGATTCTGTGACTCAGGTAGCAATGAGCTGCCATACCCGTCTGACCCTGTACATTTAGATATAAATTGTTTTTTACAAGATCAAAGATCTGCACGTTTTTTTCATGTTCCATCTTGCGAAGGCATAAATATCTGTTATATTTTGTCCTAAACATGGAAAAACAGAATCTACTGTAAAGTGTGCCATGGATGTGACTATCCTTGTGTTTTGTTAGTGTCCTCACTGGGACTGATTTTGATCTAGAATTACTATCCTGTATTTCCCTTTTTCATTTTTTTAAAAAGATGTATTTTAAGGTGTCTCTCTATATGCACACAATGACATCCAAGGACTTTCAGACAGACTCTGCAAACTTACAGCTCTCTGTTCTCCTGTTCAATAGCATCCTTAACAGCACCTTGTCATGCTTGTTGTCACTGCTGCTCTGGCCTCAGTAATGAAGATCATTGACTCAAGCTGACTTTTATCCCTTCTCTGGCTGATTGAATCCCTCTCAGTTTGAAGTGATCCACCTCCTCTAGGTTTGATTTTGACAGAATTGCTTCCAGTTCCCATACTCAGAAGCAGATATCTTACAGTGATATCTTACAGTTGTAAAATTGATAACATAGATGACGAGAGAGGAAGAAAATATGAAGACAGAAGGGGAGGAGGCAGACAGTGCAGCAGACAGTGCGGGCTAATGCCTAGCTTAATCAAACAGCTGCTTTTGGTAGCTAGGAGGTTACAGCAGATGTTTTACAAAGGCAGAATGTGTGTTTCAGTGTACAATTATATGCTTACAATGTAGTGATATGGATAATTATCACCATTTCAAAAATGAAAATCCTTCTTTATTTTTTTTTCTTTTTATTTTGTTTTACAGCTATTTCGTGGTCATGAAGTACTGTCCTGCACCAGATCCTGATGCACTTACTGACTGTGAACATGACTGCAGACGCAGGACAGCCAAGTGCTAGCCCATACAGCTGAGGTTGTCATGATCTGGCCCCATCGTCTCTTTCAGAGAGTGGCAATCTCTCCTCTGATCCATGTGGACATTTTGTGAAGTCCTTAATTTCAAGCCTTGCAACTTGCACATGTGTGCCTGTCGGCCACCAGGGACTAGTAGGATTCCAGTGAGAACTGGCACTTTTGATTTTCCTTGCCTTGCATTGGGAGATATATGAGAGTTTGTTTATGTGAGATTTGGGAGAACAAAGGCAAATTAAATCCCACCCTTCCAATAAGATATATATTTTTTCAACCTTGAAGTAAATTTTCTATGACTGTGTGTTTTGGCTTTTAAACTCAATAGCCTGCAGGCATTCACCACGTCAGCAAAGAAATGGAAAGCTCATTATTACACTATTAGAAGGTTTAAGACTGAAAACCAGAGTCTATAACAACAGCGAACAGGATATCAAAGACATGACCCTCTGCTTGATCCTTCCACTGAACTGGAGCTGGACCGATGCTGTGAAGGGTGTTTTGTTGTGCCTGCACACTCCCCAACCATTTCAGAATGTTGAGGTGTAATGGCTTCTTTTATTATTTAAATAATATTATTTCATATTCTTATTTGGCCAGATCAGAAGAATAAAATCAGATAATAGCATGAGCTCTGGAGGCGAAGGAGTGCTATGAACGAGAATTCACTCCCTTTGCATTATTCATCTGAGCAGTGCATCTGTGACACCAGTATGCCATGAGTTTCACAGGGCAGCTACCTCAGCACTATAACTGCCACACAGATCTCTCTATGCATTTTACTGGAAAAAAAAAAAAAAAAAAAAAAAAAAGGCAAAAAAAAAAGGCATTGTAAATTTTGGCAGTTGGAGGTCATTTAGGCTATTGTGTGTATATGGCACTTGGATAAAAGGTTGCCTTCTTCTGCCCTGGGCTTCCTATTCTGATTCTCATTGGTCCCTTTGGACCATTATCCTGCTGATCTCCATCATATTTTTTCCACTAAATCCCCACCTGTGACGCTTGCACTACTTGAACTTTTTCCCTACAGGCAGTATTTTCTGAACACTCTATTTTATTTTCTGTGACTTTTGGGGACATTTCCCATTTCCAGCATATCTTTCAGGACAATGCACTGAGCTGACTTGATGCAGAGCGATACAAATCCCACACACTTGTACAGGACATGTTTCCACTCCTATGCCCTATTGTTTTAATCCTGCAGGATCCTTCCCCATGCTGAGGCAAGGGAAGGACCCTGCTGTGTGCAACTTCATTTTGCACCCATGTGAGCATTGTGCTTGCTTTGAGGTATGCAGGTTGCAGTCAGATGGGGTCTGCTATTTTGGGGTAGGTATCGCCACCAAAAGCAAAATGAATCTGTCACAAAACCACTTCTACATCAGCAGCAATTTTAAGCCTTCATCTGCACATCTTTCCTAGGAATGAAGTTTCCTATATTCTGCGCTGTTCATTCCCTAAGGGGAAAAATATCTGCTTGGAGCAGGTCCACAGGGGATTCAAAAATTTCCCTTAGGAATGCATCCCTGAGCCAAAAGCATCAGGTGCAGCTGATCACAGTCAGCCTGGGGCTGCTGAGGGGCTGGGAAGGTTGATGTGAGTTTTGGGCTAGAAGCTATAAGCAGGCAGTCTGGAGGCTGATAGTGCTGTCCAACCTGTACTCTTTTCTTGGATATGTGATTTTTGCCAAGGCTTGCAGAGGGTGCTCAGGGGGCTGTGCTGGTTAAGTGGAAACCACAGGTAACAAATCTCAGTTGCAGAAGGGAAGTGTATTGTTGAGTGGGGCCTGGATGTATGGGAACCTCCAACATTTTATATCATTTCTGTCTGCTTCAGATGAATATGCTGATACTGAACTTTAAAAGGCAAAAGAGAGCCAAGCTGGCTGGCTTTGCTTGCAGAATTCTGCTGTTGCGTCTTGGTAGTCACAAGTGCAAAACACAATTGGTGCTTAGGACCAGTGATAAAACCCAAGGGAATGGCACGAAGCTGTGACGAGGGGGCTGAGATTGGATATCAGGAAAAGGTTCTTCACTAGAGGGAGGTGGACATGGCACAGGTACCCCAGGGCAAGGAGCACAGCCCTGGGCTGCCAGAGTTCACGAAGTGTATGGATAATGCTCTCAGACAGAGGGTTTGGGTGGTTCTGTGTGGAGCCACAGGTTGGACTCAATGATCTTCAGGAGTCCCTTCCAACTTGGGACATTTTATGATTCTTTGAACTTTGATTTTTGAGACATGGCAGTCGCATATAAAAATTCTTTGGTCCTGGTGAGAGAGGCTGTGGTTCAGGGTGTTATCTCCCCATGGTTTGTTTCTAATGCTGTGATGTTTATTAGGAATTTCCAGGTGCCCTCTTGAGGCTTCCAATTGAGTTCTACTGGGAACCATGGCACTAGCTGGTGTCTGAGCTTACACAGAAAACCCAATGCTGGAATTTTAAGAATGAGACTTGCTGATACCAAATAGTACAGAGACTTTATATCATCTGTTAATGCCAGAAATTAATTTGATTTTCATTTCCACACTGGAAGACGGTTATATCTAAACCTTCAGCCCAGCCTACCCTTGATGAGCAAGCCCTGGTTCACACAGAACCAAAGTGGGAAGATGATCATTTCCACTCTCTGTAGGCTTTGGTTGTCTGTGATGAGACCTGATGAGGCACAAGAACAACATCATTTCATCTGTGTCTGAGTGCTTCAGCACAGACACAACACTGAATTGATGACAAAAGTGTGTGGCAGCAGTTACTGCCATGAGGGTTGTTTTGGGAGAAAACACACAAAAAAATCATTTAACTCCCTTCCTCACTGCTGTAAGTTAATCGGAACATGCTTTATTCCCAACACAATTATAAATTTAAAAATGAATACAGCTGAAAAGAGAGACTGGATGGTGCACAGCACAGGCTGGAGCAGAGTTTACAAAAAGCTGCCTTTTAAATCTTATGCCTACATTCTGTTTCTCTCTGGAACAAAATACGATACTTCCAGCCTACAATATGAAGTGAGTCATAATATTGCCATTCTGCTCCCAGCATAATTGAGCATACCTATGGTATGAAGTGGGAGAAATATTTGGCCAAGAAGAAAGCTCCAGAATTTTATGTACTGTCAAGACGTGCTTAATAAATGGAGAGTATTATTTTCATATTGCGTAATTCAGACTTTCCTCATTCTGGGGTTGTTTCAGCAAAACATGCAAGTGTGTGCTTATCTTTAATTAGTGTTTAAGCCAAGATGGCTGTTAGCATACTTATGGGAAGGGACTTTTTAAAGGGCTGGGCTTCTATACGTGCATGGAGGCAATCGTGCTTGCACCTGCATCGGGTCTAAAGGAACTCTTGCAGGTAGATGTGGAGGGTGGGTGTTAGTGGCAAAAAGCACATATATTTGCCATGATATGTGGTCATTTATCCTGTGCTGCTGCTGTTTTCATAAGGACAGACTTCAGCCTCTCTGCTATCATCCATGTGAGCATGGACTCAGCTGGAAAAGCTTTAGGGCAGGGTATGAAGCCCTCATCCTGACAATGACAATGAGCACATTGCCTTCAGCAGGCCAGATTTCATTCCCTGCATGTGAAGAGACTCTGAGACAGAGAGGAGTAATCATGTTGTATGTGGCTGGTTGTGAAATATTTTGGCAAAGGAAACAGGGCTTGATCTTGAACTCTTCCAGGTGAAAAATACAGTCAGGAGTGATGTGAACACAAAAAGGCAAGTGAGGCAGCTTGTGGGTGAAGCTTTGGTCTATGACACCAATGATTTGGCCTCGATTCCTGCCCTCAGCTGTGTGACTTTCCCCATGCCAGTGTTTCCCTTCAAATTAAATGGGAGCATTGAAAAAAATTTGCTTTTAAATGAAGCTGGATGAACTCTCATATATCACTGTGGTCATACAAGAGACAATCCACGGGTTGAACTTAATGTTTATTTAGTATAGCTCACTCCTCTATATTAACTACAGTTATTATTATTAACTGCTGTGATGCCTGCTGTCCACAGGGCTTTCACGATCAAGAATATATGAAATAACAGTTGTTCATTTTATTTTTAAGCATTCAATAGCGTGCAGTGAGTTGTTTAACATTAGGCAGTGTGTGCGTTATGATGCTGTGCTCTCATATGAAGTGTGTTTTTTGACCAAACAGCCCAAAAATCTCTCTTGCCCTTCGTGATGAGAGCTCACAGAATCAGAGCACCAATGAACATTTGAACCCTCCAGAGTGTGAAGTAATAATGGCCAGCTGGTGTCAGTGAGCAAATGGATAAGATATGAGGATTAAATCTGATTTATACCACGCCACTGAGAACCTCTAAAAGACTGGTTTGGATTGGTTTTCAGAGGATTTCAGAACAATCTCTGCCCTTTCTAAAAAGCAACATTCCTCTGTTCTTTTTTCTAAAAAGCAGGATCTTTGGACTTCCAGTTTAAGAATAAATTCTGGAAAACAGATGGATCTACTGCTGCTGAGACCCTCTGGTCGAATTAAGAAGAGAAAACCAATAGGACATATATGCCTACATATAACTTGAAATTCCTTTCCTCCTGTTAAAACGATGAATTGTTATTGCTGTACTCATGGGCAGCCTGCATTCTCTGAGCAGACTCGTTATTGTTGAACAGAGAGATTGATAAAGTCAGATGTTTCCCAGGAAATGATGGTCAGTGATGGACTGGTACTCAGGAAGCCAACAATAATGTGATCTGGGTATGGAAAAAATGTTTGTCTTCTTGTAAACATAGGAAAACAGTGAAGACAAATTATTTTTTATAATTTTCAGTGAAGAAAAATTAATAATCATAATTAATTATGATTGTTATCCTAAGCTTATGAGTCCCTTTGTAATTCTTTAACAAATTGAAACAATAATTTGAAGAATATCAGAGGAGTATCCTTTTGAGCAGCTCACATCAGCCAGTGTTCCTTCTAACAAATTGGCTTTCCTCCACAATAATGTTTCTTCAGAGTTTTTTTCCAGCCCTGTTCCTTTGGATGTATTGATTTCCCATAGGCTTGCATCTTCCTACAGTAAGATTTTTTTTTTTTTTTTTTTGAAGTTGGCTACATGTCTGGGAAATACACACCCTTATGTTCCAAGAGGGCAGAAGGAGGTATTTCTAGAAATAGCAAAATGACAAACAAATAGTGAGAAATTTTGGTCTTGGCCACCTTACTATAAACTCAGCCCATAGGTCTTTTTTCAGAACTGAGGTTTCCCATCTGTCAATGGGTGGATATAAACTCCAGCGGATGTTGAAGAGACATCTGGAGTGTATCCAT